CGAGAAGCTGAAAACGCCCGGCACGCTGCAAATCTTTCGTTCTCACTTTCCTCCTTCGAGTCGGCAGCTGCGCTGGATTCAAGCATTTGCTGCAGGAGGTCGTGAAACTCTGGTGCCACTTAATATTTGAGCTATCAAGATCTGATCGATAACTGGGTTTTCCCCTTTTTATTTTCTGGGGCTGCACATGTTCCCCAGGCAGCTGGCGTGCGTGGCGCTTGATACGGGCGCAAGAGTCCAGTTTCTAGGGTTACTATCTCAAATGGGGCTTTGAGCAGGATGCCGGCTTAGCGAGAACATAAATGTTTTCTTTAAGAATCCGGGAGATTTCTCAAGGCCTTGCACTTCATCTTTCCCGTGATCCTTACAGATGTTGTAGATTAAGATCAAATGTAAGTGTTGCCTTTACCCTAGCAATCGGGCTGTTCTGCTGATTCTGGTCTACAGAGATCTGCAGAGTTTTATCGCTACAGAAAATATGCATTGTAGAAATTTTTTCACTAGTGGTGTTCGTTTTTGTTTTTTTTTTTTTTCCCAAAGCAAGAAAAGATGCATCAGTCACATGTTTAAGTGGAAACTGTGTCTCAGAGCCAAAACTTTGATGCTTTTTAATTATTTTTCCCATACAACGCTGTACTGGAACATTTTTCTTTTAAGTTGCGTGTCATGCTATTTTCCTAATCACTGACTTGCCATGTGGTAAACATAGACTTTAATGGGAAGAGTTTGTGTACTCTTTCAGACCGGTTGACTTTCCCCTCAAATATCCCAGCACTGTGTCCGGTTTTCCTTCGAGGAGATGTTCAACACGGAAGAGCCGTCAGGGGCCTTGTTTTTATTACAGGATATATCCTATACACCCTGTATTTGATAATTGAGTAGCTGCTAAAGATCCTCTGGGTGGTTTTTTGGTGGCTTTGTTGTTTGTTTTGTTTTTTTCCATGGTCATCGTACCCTTTTCTAGACCGGCTTCTGGTGCTGTTCAGTGCTTGCAGTTACAAATGTAAGTGAAAGTCTGGAGGGGAGTGGAGACGCAACGGGGTGCGGTATAGAAACTCCTCGCAAAGATGGAGAAGGGAACCACGGAGCCAAAGCCTGAAATGTTCCTGTGCTCCTAAGCTGTGACCTGCTAACGTAGCCTGTCCTTGCCCATGGCAGGTCTTGCTGGAGGCTCCCTCAACTATGGATCAGGGGAGGCTCTTCTCCAACCCTGTATTTTTAAGGCAGAGCAGAGACTGACCTCAGTTCTTTGCACTCAGTAACAGGACTCTTTCTGTTTGTTATTTAGTGGTTGCTTTTTTTTTTTTTTTTTAAATGATACCTTCATCTACGTGCTGCTTCGGTCAGGAGGAGAGTGGTGGCTTCGTGGTTGAGCGCGTGCTGCGTGTATAGCCCTGCAATCTGGCTATCGCCACATCTCTTCTGTAGCACTGTGAATTCCTCGTAGATAAGAACGGAGAGCTGGCAGAGAGTTGCCTCCAGGAGCCTCTCCCGGGTTAGGAGAGGAGAGCTGTGGGTGTCCTGGGCGAGGAAATGGCAGAAGGGAGTCTGGAACGAGGAGAAACAGGGAGGTCGGTGAGGGCAGGCGGTGCTGCTGGGAGAATCGAAGCCCTTTAAAGGGGGAGCAAAGACAGGCTGAAGTTTGGGGAAAGGTCTGGAGCTCCAAAGTGAGAAGGCCGGTGCCCAAAGGGTCTGTGCAGGGAGGTGGCAAGGAATTTGGGGCCTGCCACTGAAACCAGCAGTGTCCCAGGGGTCAGAGCTGATGACCCCAAAGCAGGGAGGAGGCGGCATTATGTTGGCGTGGCAAAGCTCATCCGGTGCAGTGTCCTAGCAGGGAAATCAAGGTATGTGGGGAAAGCCTGACCAGTGAGGAAGCAATGCCTGTAAAAAAAACAGCGGTAGCCTGAGCACCCTGTACCTGAAGAGTCAGCGTGTCGCAGCAGCGTGTCCCTTAATTAGTTATCTGGGAAAAATACTGCCTTTGGAAAATACAGAATATAAGTGTAGGGATTTTTTTAAGCTATTTCAAGGGATTAGAAAGGAAGCTGGTGACAGAGATGGAGCATGGCACAGGCAGGGACTGCAGTCTGACTGGTCTCTTCCCTGGGTCTGCAAGCAAGTGCCGTGGAGCTGCCGAGGGTTGTGGCTGAACTGAGCAGCTCCCCTTTGCTGTCCAGGAGGCCCCTACTAGTGTTAGAGAAGGGCCCTAGGGTGAATACAAGAGTGACTGCAAGTGGAGTAGTCACTCTATCAATAACTCAGAGCCGAATCTTTGTGCAAGATGCTTGTATCTTGTGTGGTTGATTTGGTGGTGGGTCTGACTCTCCTGACCTCTGATGGGAATTCTTAGCAGGTTGTCGGGTGTCAGAGGCTACAGTAACGTGGTACCGCTGCAAAGGTCGTTTCCTCTGGAATGCATATGGTGTCTTTGCATAGCAAAGCACCAAAAGATTTCTGTATGTTTTGGAGCCATACATTTCTGGTGTCCCTGCAAAGAAGACTGGAGTTTTTCTTCTCTGCTTTTTGGGTATAGGAGGGATCGTGGCACAAGCAGGTAAAGGTCATGGTAGAAGCCACTTGTAGAGCTGGAAGCAGAACTTGTGTCCCTTGAGCACCTGTGGTTTAACTAGTCTTGACCTTCCTCCCTTCTGCTACGTTAAAATCCCTTTGTTACGGTGTTATGGTTGTGGAGGCACCAAGGCATCCATCCTTGCCTGTGCCATGTGGCTACAACTTACACTGGGCAGAGCAAAGAAGGGGATTTGTGCCTGTGAATTCCTCCGTAGTGTTGACAGTTTGCAGCTCTGGCCCTCTGTAGTTAATTGGGAGCGGTCAGAAAGATGGCATGCACTCTGAGACGTGGGATATGCTGAGGCTGTGTTGGACTCGAGCTCCAGGTGAATCTCTGAGGTTCTGGCGAAGCTTTTGCCAAGGTCTTGGTGCCAGTGTCATCCTGTCTGTGTAATTCCCCCACCCACTTAACCTGATTCACTCCTTCCTTCTCTTGTCCTTTCTTGCTAGATTTTTGAACTGTCCGAAGCTGTAAGTTGGCATTTGTTGGTATTCAGACTGGATCTTCTGGTCTCCAGGTGTTGGCAACTGGACTTCTTATGGCTAATACTGGCCTGAAAAGCTGTAGCTATCAGAATGTGAAATACTATTTGCAGTAGCCTTGGTTTAACAAAGCACTTAAGGTGCTTGACTAGGCACACCCTGAAAAGGAAATCTGTGTTGAAGTGCTGTCCCTTATCTGGGACGCTTACCTGAGCTGAGGTCAGGCTGATGCAAGGGCTCTCGCTTCTCTGGGATGCTAGTTTGTTGACCCAAGAATGTGCATTTTTCACAAGATCATTTCACGGCTTACAAATTGATGGTACTGGCGGTTGCTGGTCCTGTGAGCCCTGTCCCTTGCACAGTGATTGCTGGAGCAAGGCATGTGTGTCTGTAAAACTGAGTCTAACCACTGAAAGTCTCCTGAAGGAGCTCAGCACAGACAAAAGCATTCTTTCTCCTCTGCTTCCCCCTGCGGGGACAAGCGATTGTTTTCCTTGCAGTTTAGTGCCAGCATATTATCCAGATGGATTTACCTCTGTCTGAAACAAGGTGTACATGTATTTTGGAGGAGATCATTACCTGCTGCCTTGGTTTTAGTGCTGCCTTGTTTTGTCTAGACAGTGCAGAGAGCTGCAGGGAACTTGTCCGATCTGAATCCTAATACCTATTTTATAGGCTGCTATTAAAATACATATCCTCGCACGTAACCATCCCGGGGCCCGGTTGCTTGCGCTGTGTGTGCGGTGAGGACAGAACCGCTGAACGAGAAGCAAGCTGCTGTTCTCGCTGTACCAAAACCTATGTGGACCAAGCCCAAATTTCAGGGGAATCCTTGGGTAGAAGGTGGCTTTGCTCTGTTTGGTAACGGCAATTCAGAACTGAAGTTTCTCTTCCTTTTCTTTGGACTGGCAGGGAAGTGTTTCTCTAGAAACTCCTTAATTCCCCTTTCGCTCCACGCCAGAAGGAGCGGTGGGCACAGGCGGGAGGCTGCGGCGGTGGGGATGCTGCCAGCGGGGAGGCTGGCATGGGGGATGCTGGGGAGGTAGGGGGGGGATGAGGAAGGAGGCTGGGAGAGGGCAGGGCTGCTCCAGAGGGGAAGCGCTTGAGCCCAGTGCCTTCCTTGGGGGGCAACGGCAGGCAGGTTAGCCTGGGATGCTGCAGAGGTGCCATCGGCCGGTGCCTTTGCTTCTGGTGCTGCTTTGATCCTCACTGGTGCTGCTCCTGAGGGCCTAGCTGGTGTCTGAGTAACCACTTATGTTCTGCTTTCATTGACAGTTTCTTCTCCTCTCTCTCTTTCTTTTCTCCCCTGCCCTTCCTCCTAGAAATTTCGAGTAGATATGCCAGGATCAGGCAGCGCTTTTATCCCTACGATCAACGCCATCACAACTAGCCAAGACCTGCAGTGGATGGTTCAGCCCACCGTCATCACCTCCATGTCAAGCCCTTACTCTCGCTCGCACCCCTACAGCCATCCGCTGCCCTCGCTGTCTTCAGTGGCCGGACACACGGCCCTTCAGCGACCTGGTGTGATCAAAACCATCGGGACCACAGTGGGACGGAGACGAAGAGATGAGCAGGTAACCGTGTCGGGGAGAACAGCTGGGGGTGCCTTAGAAACAGGCGTACGGACTTTCCCATCCCTGCCCTCACGTGGGACCTCCTGGCCCCACGGGGGAGCAGTGAGGTCCGTCCCCTGCGCCGTACAGGTGCTGGGGATTCTCAGGGTGATGTATGGCGTAAGCCGGAGGGTGATTTTATTGCTGCTTCCTCATCATACAGTGAGACTTACCCAGTCTCCGTCAAACGCTTTGCACCACTGGACCACATTGTGGCTCTGTTTCAAAAGCAGGTGAAACTCTGAAGTTAAGCCTTGGGTTTCAGTTTGAGTGTCTCTGCCACTCCAGGCAGAAGGAAACCTCTGAGCAAGCAGGGGAGCTTTTATGTAGGTCCTTTACAAATCTGACACCCTAATTACATCAGCTAGTGTTTTATATCAGCTCTGTGGCAGCTAGCACTGCTCCAGTCTCAGTTTTGGGTGATACCACCAGTACCAGCCAGCACTGCGCAGGGAGGAACAGCTTCCCTAGAGCACCTCGACTCTAGTAGCAAGAGCCTTCCGGATGTCTGGCGTCTAAATCCACCTTCCCACTGCAAACATGTAATTGCTTGATCTCATTACAGCGGTGAGGTGAGGATCGCATAAGCAGAGATTTTCCTGCTCCTAACCCAGTGGCATTTTCATAGCTGGGATGGGGTGGCTTGTTGTACCACTGCTGCCCTGTGCTCAGCTTCCTGATGGGATTATCGAGCCAGGACCTTGGCTCCTGTGCTGGGGCAGGGCGGTAGACTAGATGTAGGCATCTCGTCTTCTGGAAATCCTTTCAGCCCTGTCAGTCTGTTCTTGCTGAGAAACAGCCTTCTCCAGGGCTGCCTGAATAGCTATCCACAGCGCTAGCTGATTTTTTTTCCAAAAAACAAATATTCAGATTTTTTTTAATTCTTTTTTTAATCTCCATCTCCCCGAATTGTTCCCAAGCAGCAGTTGTGTGGGTCGCTGCAGAGCAGTGTAACAAGACGCACTGCGCACCCTCGGTACACCAGCAGCCACTATTGCATGAGGTCTGTTTCTAATAAGACTCACCAGCCCTACTTTTACTTCCACGTCATCTGTTTTGATTCACAGTCTGATTATTTTATGTGGAGTGGCTGTCTGGTTTAGACCTAAGAGGCAGGGAAGGAGTTAAAGTCACTTGTCCAGCATGAGCTGCACCTCTGTGCAGGGAGCCAGTATGGGCGCACCGAGGAGCTGTTTTTGGGAGGAAGGATGGGGCAGCCGTGGTGGCTCTGGTACGTGCCAGCCCTTTCCACCAGCTGGAGCTACCTCCCGGTTCGCTGCGTGCAGGGCTGGTGTCCAAAGCCAGGGAAGCTCTCACGAGAACTGGGGGAATAATTAGCAACAACTAATTTGTTTGACAAATGCTGCCTCTGTGTTCGCAAATTGGCCGTGAAGAGATCACCATATTCTCCGCTTTATTTGTTGTTCAAAGTTATTTGCTGAAGGATGCCTGCCAAGCAATTCCTGGCCTGTGGCTTGTTTGCAAGCGGTTCATTGTGGGTCATTCAAAGCCAAGTCCTTTTGATTAGACACGTGCTAAGGCAGTACCCGGGCGCTTTAGTGGCTCTTTGGCTCAGGTTTCCACTGTTGGTGCTTTGAACGCCGCATCGGAGTGCCTTTTTGGAAAACATTGTGTAACGCTTTATGAAAAGAGCCTGTTTTGATGAACGTTTCTGCCAGCGAATGCACGTATTGGGCTTGGACAAGCTACAGATAACGCGTACAGCAGGGGCACGAAGAGTGCCAAATCCAACCGCTTTCAAACAAATCCAGGAACCGCTGACAGAATATTCCTTTTTAGACCTGGTATAATGCTAAGCACGTCCAGATTAGGGGCTTCAGCCCCGTCTATGAGATTTTTCCAAAGCATAGCCTCCGAGACAGATAATTTAAAAATGACTGAAGGCCCTGGGAAAAGAAATTTCAGTCCCAACATATTTCAGTGAGGCCTGTGCTTCTGAAGCATGAGAGGGCTCTTGAAAACAGTACGCAGAGGCCCCCAGTCAGCACAGAATCTGCGTGCGTGCTTAACGCTTTGCCGTACTGCAGATACGTGCGTACAAATACATTTTTACCCCGCACACGTGCGGGCTGGAAAGTGAGCGGGCAGAGCGGTGCCTGCAGGGGCTCCTTACTGGGGGGAATATGCCAAAGCCCCGCTGGCTGCTGCCCAGCGGGGTGGAGGTACCCCCCACCCTGAGATGGAGCGCTGTGATCTGCTCATGGAAAAGCTTTGAGGCCCAAAACCTGTGTCCTGAAGTTCCTAGAAGTGCTTGTGTTGCTTGGTGCTTATCTGGGGGCTCCTGCTGCATGCAGGTGCAATTGCAGGCATGGACTGGATCTGTCCCCCCTGCCCCTTCCCCGCAAAAAAAACAACCAGAAAAAAAAAACCAACAACCAACAAAACCAAGACCAAACCAGAACCGAGCAAGGGGAATGCCCAGAGGCTGAAGTAAACTCCCCGAAACTGTGAAGATCGAAACTAAGGAAATAAAGCAAACCAAAACAAACCAGAATGAGGTTAGAGTAAAACTAACACTAAAAAGAAAAGATAGTAAAAGGGTGAATATCTCATTTGCAGTTTTGACAGCCCCAGAAAGTATTAAAACAGAAAGCTTTTCATAAAGGGTGGGGGTTTTTTCCCATTCTCTGCTGGCACTACATGAGATCTGACACATGCTTTGCAGGGTGCTCGTTTCACTTTTGTTTGCAGTCAGCGGGCCAAAGCCCCCACCACGCACGCCGGCCCGGTGAGGCTGAAGTGTGGGGCATGGGGTCAGTCCGCAGCGGAGGAGGACGTACAGCCGAGCCGTGCTTGAACCCCCACGGCCGCCTGTTTGCACCAGCTCCTGCTCGCCGTGTGCCACAGCGGTGAGCGCAGCCGTTGCTGGCCCTGTTCACGCGCTGCCGTACCAGCTCGCCGGCCTTGGCAGTGGTGCAAGCCTACCTCTGCTGCCGGGATTTGTAAAACCTCGTCTCAAACCCCAAAAGCTAGGCCTGACTTGACCAGATCTTGTGGGCTCCTGCTCACTTCCTCTGGTTTCGTAAGAGTGTTGCTGGATGGATTTCTATGGAATTGCTCCTGATTTACATCAGTGAGGACGTAAGCTGGCCTCAGGAAGCCCTTGATATCACTGGGGCCTTGCCTGCTGATGCAAGAAGCACAGGGTGTTATCTCACTGAGTGCTCGAAAATCTGAGGTCAGATTTTTGGGTGGTATAAATCATTGTTGCTTCATGGACTTCATGGGAGCTCTGCTGATTTCCCTGTCTCCCCCCCACTCCATCCCCGACCTTCAAGCTAACAACTATTTTTGTGTGGGAAGCAGCAGATCTTTTCTTTCTTGAAAGAGGCACTTACAACATCGTGGTCTGGTTTTGCTTAACGTACCACCCAAGTTGTGAAACAATCAGAGCATCTTTTATCTGTTTGGCCTTGGTGCAGATTCACTGTCCTCTTGCACAATCTTCCCCCTGCTCCCCGCTCCATCTTCTCCTCACCCTTCTGCTAAGACCCGGTGCAGGCAGAGATACTGTGCACTTTCATCTTCTGCTGACATCAGTGAAGAGGGGGAGTGCTCAGCATCCTGCTGGATCAGGCCTTTTTCCTTTGCGTTGCGGTTAAAATCTCACAAACTTCAAGGAATGCCTTGCTCAGATCTGATTGTGGGTTTTCTTGGCACTTGCCCACAGCTGTCGCCCGAGGAAGAAGAGAAGCGAAGGATCCGGAGAGAGAGGAACAAGCTGGCAGCTGCTAAGTGTCGTAACAGGCGTCGAGAGCTAACAGAGAAACTCCAGGCGGTACGTGCTCTGCATACATTTCTCCTTCCTTGCTACCCGCCCTTTGGACCAGCTCGCAGGGCATTGCTTTCCTTCCGCTAGCGTGTTCGAGGAAGATGCTACAAAACACACACTGCCTTCCCCCTCAAGGGATTCCTGGTGGTGTTGCTGCTGCATCAATGGTGGTGAGGGCTTGGCCTAGAGCTCAGGAGCCTAAATCCCCCTTGCTGACTGCCCAAAATGTCTTAGGAGCTCTCCTCCCTTCTAGTCTCCCAGCTAGCACGAGTCTCCCTCTGCAAGTGGAAAAAAAGATGCTGTGTGCCTCAAAGGAGGCAGGCGTTAAGGACAAAAGCACTGAGGACAGTAAGATCATCTGAAAGCAGTAGAAAATGAGGCAGATGTTATGTGTACCTACCGAAGCCACATCCTTTAGGCTAACCTTTCTTTGGTGGGGGTAACTGATTTCCTGCACAAAGGAAGCACGGCAGAGACGTATTGTCCGATGCCACCGGGGAAATAACTAGTTAAGCTGGAGAAGGTAGGGGTGACTGCAAGAACCGTGGGGTGGGTAAGGGACTGGCTGAAGAGGAGACAAGGATGGGTTGTGTTGGAAGAGGCTGGAGGGAAGGCTCCAGCGCTTCTAGTCAAGAACCAGCCTGGGGCTGGTTGTATTCCATGATCTTATTAATAAGCGCAGCAGCAGCAGTGAAAGCACACTGGTGAAACATACTGCTGACTCAAATTCGGGAGGTATTCTCAGCGTAGGAGAGGCAGGGCATCCTATAGGAAGAATTTAAGGATTGTCATGACTAAAGTAATTGAAGTGAGAGGAGTGCAAAGTGGGGGGGTCATATCCTGAAGGACTGAGTGTGAGTTCCGTGAAATGGTGAGCTCCTCACACAGGAAGGTACTAATTGCTCACAGATTGACTGTGAGCCATCAGTGTGATGTGACCATGGGAAAGGTAAATGTATTAATCCTAGGATGCATCAAGGGATAATCCAGTGGAGATGAAAGGGTTAGTCCTTTATGCAAGTGTCAGACCTCATCTGGAATATGCACCACAGTGGGAAAGTGGAAACAGTTTAGAGATTGCTGTACACTACCTCTGTCTAAGAAGTGAAAAGAACATGACTTACCTGACACAAAAAAATGATGGTAGGAGATCTGAGTCCTCTCTACTAAGGTGTCTGTCAGGCAGACAGCAAGGGAGAAGATCTATTTAAGTCACAGGCCAAAACAGAGTGGTAGAAGCTTGCCATGAGAAAATTAAGGTGAGCTCATGAGAAGACTGTTTATAAACCTTAGATCAGTGAAGTTTGCGAATAGCCTACTGGTAGACACACGAAACACAAGATGCTCAGCTCGCAATGACCTGGTGCCTGCTTGGCTCGTGAAGAGTCTGGGGTGTATCTGCCTGTGCCAGATGGGAACTGGACTTGATGGCCATGTTCCAGGTGAGGTGCAGTGCCAGAGCCTCTGATACTTACTTATTCCCCTTTTGTCTGCAGGAAACTGAAGTGCTGGAGGAAGAGAAGTCAGTGCTGCAAAAGGAAATTGCTGAGCTCCAGAAGGAGAAAGAGAAGCTGGAGTTTATGCTGGTGGCTCACAGCCCTGTGTGCAAAATCAGCCCTGAGGACCGTCGGAGCCCACCATCCAGCAGCCTCCAGAGCGTTCGGACTGGAGCGAGTGGAGCGGTGGTGGTGAAGCAGGAGCCTGTGGAGGAAGAGATCCCATCTTCCTCCTTGGTCCTTGACAAAGCCCAGAGGTCTGTCATTAAGCCCATCAGCATTGCTGGAGGTTTTTATGGGGAGGAGGCACTCAACACTCCCATCGTGGTGACCTCAACACCAGCCATCACTCCTGGCTCCTCCAACTTGGTGTTCACCTACCCCAATGTGTTGGATCAGGAGTCTCCTCTCTCCCCATCTGAGTCCTGCTCCAAAGCTCACCGGAGGAGCAGCAGCAGTGGTGACCAGTCCTCGGATTCCTTGAACTCTCCCACCTTGCTGGCGTTGTAATACCCCTGCGGTCCCTCATTTTGCCAGTGTGTTACATCCCCCCGCAGCACCATGGGGGGAGCCCCCCTCCATGGGATTAGAGACAGGCATAGGATCGTTCAAGCACAAGGGCAGCAGGAACAAGGATGGGGAAGTGCTGCAGCTCCAGGAAGGAGAGTGAGGACCAACGCCAGCTCCCTGGAGGCAGGAAACGGCAAGGGTGGGACTGACACGCCAGGACTATTTGGAGAGGGTGATGTCCCCTCTGTAGGGACTGCCTATGGAAACCTCTTCACGGCCATAGTGGACTTGGGGAGCACTCTTGGCCAGGACTGAAGGCGAGCTGCAGACAGTTGCTAGTCATCCCTTTCCTTTGTGAATTGATCTGATCGGTTGTGCTCTGTGCTTACATCATTCTGGTTAGTTGATCTTACAACTTCTCTCGTTCCCTCTTTCTCACTCTGTGCTTATCATTTCCAATGTTGTCAATCCCATGACATTTCATCCAGTTGCTCTGAACTCTAAAGGCTTGTTAGGACATTTCCTCTTGGGACAGGCTGCGGGAAACATGTAGGATTGCCCAGGCAGGAGGGGGATGGCTGGGAGGTCCAGGAGAGGGAGGACTAAGAGGAGCCTGAGGGCTCAGCAGCAAGGGCAGAGCTCGTAACTCTGGCCTGGGGCACAGAGACAGCAGGAGGCTCATGCAGAAGCCTTTCTTTTTTAAAATGTAGATAATTTATCCCCTTGGGCTCCTCAAAAAACAATTTAGCATCTCAGGGCCAAAGTAGCATCAGAAAAGCTGCTGGGCTGGCACTTACCAGTGTCTTTGGCAGGATTTTACCCCAGTTTGTGGATATCAAATCTGCTGCTTGTTGTTTACTTTTCCTGGGCTGCCCACTGTCTAGGGAGTATTGCATCTTCTTCCCCATCAGGGCTCCTGATTCAAAGGCTGATCTCTTCCTATTAGTAAATCCTCCCTTCCCCTTGGCCATATTTGCAGAACATGCTACCGAAAAAGAGGTGGCACCATGTGCCTATAAATCCAGGATGGAGACTGGCAGTGGATAAGAAGGTGAAACTAGCTGGCTGTACCCTTGTTGACTTTTTCATTGTTGGGAAACAAAGCAGCACACATCCACCAGTTGATACTAGGGGGTGTTGTTTGCTCAGAGATTCCCAGTTTCCAAGGTTGGGGGGACGGCAGTGGACCAACTTCCAGCACAGGCCACAAGGTGCTCCTGACCAGGCAGGAATGGCATGGTTGAAGTGATGACCTGTTTGCGCGAGAACAGGGCTTCTGATAACCTCTGGTTATGAATGACAAATTGACAGTGGAGGAAAAACAATTACCATTATTTGCACCTTGGTCTTTGGCCTTTTTTTTCGTTTGGTGTTTTTTTGGGGTTTTTTTTTTTTTTTTGCATTGCAGTTGATCTGTTTTTGTTGGGGTTGATTGGCCTGAAGACAAAAAAAAAAAAAACAAATCAGAGGGCTCTTCCCCTAGCTTGGGTCCTTGTCTTCTCCAACCTGTGGGCTTGGCTGCTACTACTAAGTGCTCACAGAGGGCACAAGCTCTCCAGCACCGATGTTCGCTACTGAAAACAGTAATGTGTGTAACTTATTCCCACTCGGAGCCCAGCTCAATTCCTGTTGATGTCAAGGCACTGACAAACCACGACCATGTGCACACTAGGATTGCCCAGCTTGTCAGCTAAGCCACTTAGGGGATAGCTCTTTTGTCCTGCCCGATGAAGCTGTGGTGGAAGCTATTTATTTTGGTGTGAGATTTTCTTGTTCTTTTATATTATTTTTTTTAATCAACTGAAACCAGGGTATTTCTTGGTCAGGCTGGACCTGGAGAAATGCAATATGCAATTATAGGGCCAGTCCTGTGAGATGCTGAACTGCTGCGGTCCCCACCAACTCCACTAGGAATTAATAGGGTTCAGTCTTGTGGAACTGGACCTTTACTCAGCAGGGCTGGCTTCCCTCAAACCCTGGCCACTGTCCATTCCTTGAATCATTTCAAAGGGACACTACTTTGGCTCTGAAGGTAGGCTTTGCTTTTTTTATTATTACTTTTATTTTTAAACCCAGGTATTTACCAAACCTGCCAGAAAAAGAAAGATATGAATGATCTTTTTGCTTCATAAAGCCAATTGTGATTCAGGCTTTTTCTTTATTGCTTAAACACTTCCATCATTATACTGGTGCTAGAGGTTTCAAATTGAGCTTACTCATATAAGTGAAATTGATAAAGGAGTTCTTTTGTCCTTACATGAACATCAGAACTTCCTTTTTAATAAAGTAGACCTTAAAACTTCATGCAGTTAGCACAAAGGATCCTGTTTTCATAGGGTTTTATGTAGATGATATCACTTTAGGTGAAACTGCTGTTTCTCTAACTGTCCGCATTTTGCCAGATGCTTGTTTGGGTCAGTCTGGATTAAGAACCTAAAATTCTTCAATGAAATGTCTCTGCATGTCGTTTCCACCCATTTTTGAGCAGAATGCGATATTGACAAGTGGTGAATCCTAAAGTGATGCAGCTACTTTTGAGGCCAGCTGAGCAGGATCGCTGTCTCGCAGGAGATGAGGAGCATTCCTACTAGGGGTTTCAGGAAGTCACATGCCACCTCCAAACCTGAGTAAGCCCAACTCCTAGAGGAACAACAAGAAACCACCTTTGCTTTTGCTCACTGAATCATTGCCAAAAAGAGCTGCAGCTGGCCCTTGCCTGTTGCCTGCTGCCTTGTCATTGACCTTCTCGGAGACAGGACAGGACCGGTCCCCTTTTCTGTCCTGTGACACTGCAGGAGCCATGTGAAACTGCCCGGAAAAGAGGATTATTTTCTACTATCTGGAAAAAGCCCTGAATACCTTGTGCCTGCCTGTTTTGTCCCTCAAATCTCTCAGAGGATGTCTGTGTTGGGATCGCTGGTCTCCTGCCTTCTGTATTTTGTGGATCAGCCTTACTTTGTTTAGTTTCTGGCAGATAGGTACAACTTGAGCTCTGCTGCCTTTTTGGTCTGGCTCTGCATCCCTCTTTTCAGGTTTATTGGTGTGCTTTTTTGGGAATTGACTGTCTTCCCCATCCCCAAAATGGTATTTTTCATGAGTACCTTCCCTGCCAATTCCTAAATGTACAGTGTCTCCATGTTCTGCATGTAACAGGGATGCGGGAGCTGTTATAACTAGCATCTGACCAAGAGTTGTTGAAGTCAATAGAAAAAGGCCCAGGGAATTTCAGCTGGTCTTGGGTCAAACCCCCCCAGTGACTGGCCCAACGAAGCCTCTAATAACATCTTAAATTAATCAATGCCAAACTGGAAGGAGCAGCAGCAGCAGCTGCATTGAAGGAAACATTCAGCTTCCAGGTGATGTTTGCCATTCCAGTTTTTCCCTCGTTCCTCCTTCCCAGTTGTGGCATTGCCTTCATCCATTCCTTTCTCATAGGTGTGGAGACTGGGTAAGTCTCAAACTGCTTGTGGTGTGACGGGATTTGGGACCAACGTGCTGGGGACAGTAGCTCTCTGTTGTGTTTTTATAATTATTATTTAAATGATCTAGTTAGTTCATCTGAACCTTTAATTTTGCTGCTTACTGTATGTAGGATCCACCTGGCCTTCATCCTAAGTGAAAAGAAAAAACAAAATGAAAACAAACCTAAGACACCCCTCTCCTTCCTGGTATCTTATTATTTATTGGCAGGCAGCCGTCTTGTGCCCGCTCCCGCAG